GGGACACTGCGATGGCAATTTCTGGCTTATTTGCCAGCATTAGGTAGTCATACCCTAGTGTTGCTGCTGATATTGCTGCCACACTCGGGCTCTGAACTCGAGTTTCCCCGGTAAAAGTCGGACGCCGTAACCATTGAGCTATCGAGCTCGCAGTCTTGTCGGAGTAAGCTCGGGGATATATACAGTAGCAGATACGCGTACACCAACCTGACCCAGGACACACTCGTCAGTCGATGTTGCCATCAGGTCTCTCCCTCGAGCTTCCATCACGGGGCGGCTAGCATATAGGCAGGAGGACATTACCCACAAAGACATCGGGCACTGCAGTGGTCTTGGTGAGGACGTCCTACGAAAAAAACTGATACATAGAATGCTCCTAAAAACTGACCTATGCCAACGCACCATGTCAGATTTTAAGAAAAAAATGGACAGAGTAATGATAAAAGATTGCCACGACCGCATTCACAAGTACCGACGAGTGATTCAACAACAATCCTCGAAGTGCCAGTCAATCCTTACGACACACGACCTGGGGATCCTTCCTGCTACGACCCTAGACACTGCATGGTGTCACCGCAAGTTACATGATGACCATTTATCGGTTAAGTTCGAGAAAATTAGCCTGCAAAAGCAACCCTCTTCTGATGGAGTTCTGGTTCACAACTTGTCCCCCCATCCTCTCTCTCCACAACAACTGGCCGTTCTATCATATGACACAAAATTCAGCACGAGAGATGCTGGCCCAGAAGACTTTATCGCATCTTTCGAATTGGCATTCCAGACATGCGAGGCAGATGAGGAGTGTAAAAACGCCATGCGTCAACAAGTTACTAATTTACTCCTTCAACACAAACGCCAAGTTACGATATCTAAAGCATAAGAACGAGAACTCCTGAAAATACGAAAAAATGAAGGATATCGTTACCCTGCCCGCTGACAAAGAACGCTCGACGGTCGTCATGGATAAGATGGAGTGTGAGGCAAAAGCGAATGACCTCTTGATAGGCAAGGAATCTTGCGAACCATCGACTGCCAGCGAGTTCAAAAAGCTCGTGAACAACATAAACAAAGCGGTTGACAAACGGAGGAAGTCGGGAGCTCTGACGAGAAGAGAGGAGCTGGCTGCAAAGGCCACCGACGCTGCAATGGCATGTTTCTACGGTCTACCAAAGGTGCACAAACTAGAAGTGCCCTTACGCCCCATCATATCCTTACGAGGCACCCCAACCTTTGGATTGTCAAAGTGGCTGTATCAGCGACTGTGCTTCCTGACCAAGGACTCACAGTGTACAGTGAAGTCTGCTAAAGAGCTTTGACCCGCATCCAATACC